CTATTTCAAAATAAAATCAAAGATATGTTCGCTTACACAAATAAGAAAAAAGAAAACTAGGAGAAGTCAAGTACCTGCCTATTCTTTTCTCGTCCTTTTCCACTCTGTTATCTGTTTGTGCTGCCAACAACTGACACAGAATACAGACGAGGTTAACAAGGTTGTCAGAATGATTCTCAGAGCGTTACAAATAGAGATATAAAAATACAAGTTATCGTTATACTTCGTAATAAGTGACTATTGCTACGTTAATATCACAAGTTCCTTATAATATTACTGTTTATAGAAAACGATACTATCGAGTCTCTTTCATTATCGGTTTGGCGTTTGTCCACTTCGTTAGTCTTTTATAAAGTTCGGAGGGATTTAACGATGCCATTGTCGCGAGAAAGAGAAAATGGAGAGCAAACAGTAGTCTGTAAGAAGCTGAGGCTTTATTAAAACCTTCTATAATATTAAAGAGGTCGGAATACTACCGGCTTCTTGTACGTGCTTATATTCGCGAATAACGGCGGCTCCCAGAACATTTAGACTGCACCAAAACTGTACATTCTTGTTACATTAAAAGATTATATAAAAATATAGTTTCGCATTATTATACGCGCGAATGCATATCTTTTATTATTCTATAAATGAACGAGTTTTAAAAAAACGATTCTGTTTTATTATGTATACATTATTATAAACATCAATATACATAAAATATTAGAACGTGCTATGCATAAAATGCATATTAATTATATATTTTTCAGAATAACAGTAGAATAATATCAGAAAAAATAAATGAATGTGTGATTGAATCTTTTTATTATTATTTTCTAATAAAATATAATAAAATGTAACACTTTGTTCTTTCTTGTATCGCAGTTTAGCGATTTCAGTTTACGGACGATTAAATGTAAATGAAAAGGATTTTCGGGACTCGTTGTTATTGTTACTAGGCGCATTGCAGGTATGTTTACTACAGTTGACTTGTTGTTACGGCGTAAGGTATGTATTGTATAATCGCGCTGGCGTGTACCTTTCAAACGAGGTGCTCTCTCTTGAACGCCGTTATACTTTACAGCATTGTTCCCTCTCGCGAGAAGCGCCTCGTTCGCGCTTAGGCTGCAGGCATGAGAGTCAAGTGACCGAGCTGTCGTTTCGTGGTTACGACGTCGTTGCCGCATCAGTGTATATTGCCGGTGAAAGAGGGACCCTACCATCGGTGCCGCGCCGCGGAAAGGGACGGGCGTGCTCGAGAGAGGGATGGGTTTACCCGCAAAGCTCGGTTTTAGGCCAAATTAAACATGAAGCTGCGCGATCGTTCCGGTTCGTGGAGTGTTTCCTTCACAGGAGATTCAACGCCAGGAATTGAGCCTGGCATGCGTCTTCTCCCTGATACCATCGCGCACAGTATTTGAACGTTTAAATTTATATCATCATTCAAACGAATATATATTGCAAAGTCAGAAATATTAACCCTCAGTTATCTTTTTGGGTTACGTTAATCCATATCAAAAATGATTTTTTCGAAATTTTAGAAAATCACTTTTTATTTTTTCTCAAATATCTCGAGTGGTAGAAATCTGGTGACATTTGTACCGATATATGCTTTTTTCTTACTATCTGGCGTATCGATTAAAAAAAAAAATACTTTAAAATAGCTTTATTAGATCCAGAAATATAAACAAAAGAAGACTCTGGGTTACTCTAACCCGTGAGTGGTAAAATAGGGTGGCCAAAAATAAGTGGTAACTGAGGGTTAAAGCTGATCAAAAGGGAGATCGGAGAGAAAAAGAGTGAGCTTACATCTTTACCTTCGTCTTCATTCGTCTTATAACTTTAATGTAACTTTAAGTGATATACGATATCAATTTTCATGTAGCATTTCACAAACATGAGTTATATCGAGCAGATTCGTATCGAGCAGAATAATGACATTTAAAATAATGATTTAATTTACTTACTCGTTTCGTAATTATTCGCGAAATATTTGCGAATTAACTAATTAAAACAATTATTCTCATCGTGTGCTCTAGCAGAATTATCTTTCGTTAATGTACAATCGATTGTGACATTATCCCGCAGAGAGCTTGTATTACTCACATTGGAAATTTGACGTATGTTGCAGGTCGTTGCACGTCATCGTTGATATGCATCATTACTTTTCTCTCCCCTTGTTGGCTGCGGTTTACCACGTTAAATGACGATATTAATTAATTTGAGAATATTAATATTATGGAAGCGCGTGTTTAATTCGTTATCGCATACAGCAGCAGAACTGAGAGAAACGCAAAAATAAATACTCAGAGATTCCTACTTACGCGATAGTATTATTAACATGAGACACATTTAAGTTTTATAGAAAATGTAATTTAATAATTTAATTTACTAATTAACTGTACTATTTAAATATCTTCGGAAAATAACAGTGAAAAATGTAAAAGAGATTTCAAGATGATATTATTTAGCAGTTTCATAAAATTCTCCATAAAACTTTTGCATAGATATTCCGACGTTAGTCAACTGGGTTATTAATATCTGAATAATAGTCCACGCTTCCAGGAAATAAAAAGAAAAACGTATTGATTTAAGAGAGAAAAGAATTGAGGAAGAAAACTTAAAGAAAACTAGGACTTGGAGTTATCTCAAAATAACGAGCAAACTCTTAAGAAAGTGTAGCGCTTCATATAATCAATTAGAACTCCAGAACGAGTGAGATGCTAATGGAGTTCGACTAAGTACAAACTAGAGCAAACTAGTGTCGAGTCGAATGAACGCATCAGCTTCCTCAGGCGTCGTATCTATCTATATTGCAAATCCGTCGTCATGCGTAGAAAGCAAGCGATCGCAAACTGCTGCATTCCTCGATCACGCTATCTTTTTTATATCAAATTTTATATTTTAGAAAGAAATATGCCCGTACAAATATGTTCTTTAGCAGTACTAATATAATAAAAAGAAACTATTAAATTTTGGGAAATTTATAGAAAAAATATTTAAAAGAATTTCGAAATCAATTGAAAAAATGAAAAAAAGCTTTCTATGAGATTAAAATGAATAGTAAACAATTATTCATTTATGTTCTCATTTTGCATATTATTTATTGCAAATTACAATAAATATTTATCGTACGTCATTCTTGGTTTTGAAGAATTCTTTGTTTTGAAGAATTATCCATTATCCCTTGCCATAAATCTGACAGGTGCCGAAGAAATCTATCGCAAAGTGGTCATCGTAATCTCTGTTATCTTACGCAGACCTTTCGGTTATGGTCCCTTGCTTCCAGTAAAAAGAGAGAAAGAGAGAGAGAGAAAGAGAGAGAAAGCCTGCTTTGGACTCGGTTCTCATTCCTCTTGACGTTGACGGAGTATTGTTTCCTCGAGCAAGATTTCCTCCGGGTCCACTTGCTACAAGAGCAGCAAGAATGGAGATATGGCAAAAAAAGGATGAGATTGTAATGAAACGTCAACTCAATGCTTATCTTCGTCGGAATGTTCGATTAACCGATCAAAACAATATTTTCGAAGATATTTTAAGTAATGCTCGATAATATTTTTTCTTTTCTTCTTTGATGCAAACTATTAAAAGTACATTATATATTTTGCTCACGTATTTCACATGTTTTATAGTCACGCCAAAGTTGAAGGATAAATGCTAATTGTTACTCTTCTCTCTGGTGCTGTTTTACTATAATTGAATGATTAATTGCATCTCCGTTCTCGCGCGCCGCTGAAAGCGTATATTCATCAATGTCTCTCGTGCATATCTATAATTACAGTTCTCAATAATAATTTTAGCGTCGGTTATGAATCATAATGTCGTTTATTTTCAATGCATCTTTGAATTATTTGTCAAACGTATCGGAGTATAATATATTGCTAAATAAGGTATCATCAACGCTTAATAATTATGATAAATTTAACTCGCTATTATGCGAGAATAATTTCAAATATGTAGGTCAAATGATTGAAATATATAATTAATTTGGCATTTTAATCAATGATACGCGTAATACACGTATATGATAAATTTAAATATGCTTACACGCACATACATAAATAGTGTGCAAAATATAATGATCGGAGTGTCTAGATATATGTATATTGACTCAATAAGATGTTTGAAATGTGAAAATACTTCGATTTAAGAAAAAGAATCCTAACATGTTTCTTGAGAAAGAACTTTATGCCAGGAATTCGCTGATTTCTCACCATTTCTGTCTCGCATTTCTGTTGCCCTGGCAGATTGTATCCCTGCGATTCTCCGTGGAATTAATTCGTTAAGAGGTGGGAGGTTGGCCGTTCTACCGTGATAGACGGGGTTCGTAAATTTTAGAGGTACACCTGGTACTCTAACCTAGTAGGACGGAAGGAAGGAAGGAAGGAAGGAAGAGAGATGAGTACGACGGGTAAATCCAGCTTCCGGTAGCAGGTCGGCTTCCCCTAGCTGGAGTTGATCCTTGAGAACCTCGGTTATTCACTCGTTGCTAGACTGTCGATAACTTGGATACAATCTTAACCTTGCCCACTTTCGTTTTTCCTTCCCACTTTTATGTACTCGCTCGTCTTGTCCGTCATCTCGTTTGCCACGGGGATCTTTGGTTCGGCTTCTTCACACATCTTCCGGATCAGACATCTTTTCGTTTTACACCGCTAAATCCAATATCATGCTGTCGTTTCATATTTTCTGAGAGGATTTAGGCATAGCCCTTTTGCTTTTATTGCATTTCTGCTTTTCTTTTCCTTCTAAGATAGGAGAAACTCGGATGACAAGTTGCTTATAACCGCAACTTGTTGAATGAATAAAATTTCTCTGAAAACAAACTCAAGTGCACGTGCTTGAGTCTTAAACTACTACAGTATATATAAATGTATATATGTGTACGCACACAGATATATACATTAAAAATGCAAGCACTTATATCTGGCATTTATATATTGCAGCAAGGCTGCTATGACGCTGTGTGACGTTGTAATATTATGTATTACTATATCTCATCTCATTTTATGTCGCAGGTGACTGGCATCGTAGGCAGAGCGGATGTTCTGGCGTGCATTTTCTTTTTACTATCCTTCCTTGCCTATCACGGGTGAGTATGGCTTAAACTCTTATAGACTTACTAGCTAGTTGACTTGATATTTCATTTCTTTTTCAAGTTAACACAAATACGAACGCATTTTATATATTAAATTTCTATTTACATTTTGGAATTACACAAAGGAGAATTTGATTGAACTATGCTGAGAGAAGAGAAAAGAGGCTCGCTCCATTTCACGCATACAAATCTAATGAGTTACGAAGTTGAATAGAATAGAATACCTCCCTGTAAACCCAGGAGAACTTAGAAACTGCGTCTACGTCAAGAATGTCGAGCGACACTTAATGTCGCGACGACGCTAGTCTGACGCCAAAATAGCGACCCCCATTCGTTTTCATGAACATAGAACCTGAAAATTATAAACTAAACTAATTTACTCCACGAACTACTACCATAGCTATGCGGGAGCGTCGTAAATGTGCCCCGGGGGTCGCTCACATCGATCTTCAGTGTTAGAGCTAGAAGAAGAACGACTTCACGCTCAAAACAATTTCAATTATGTTTCGGAAGAGACATTATTCTAGCGGTATTCATTTTAATTCAATGTAGATGTATTCCGCCACTTATCCTATCTACTTTTGGAATAAATTTAATTAACTAGATAAGAAAGCGCGCGGTGATACTCGAAACCAAAATTTCATGACGAAAAAAATCTGTAAAGACGAACTTCATCGCGAAAGCCTTAAAAAGCTTCCGTGAAGGTATTCTAACATAAAAGAGCGGCCGTTGAAGGCAAGAAGGTAAAATTCTGTCTGTATATAGAACTAGCCTCGAGCGGCCAATGGCTGGCGGGAGGGTAAGATGCTTGTCTTCGAACCTGAGAAATTGATTACTCTTGGCTGCCTTTGAGTACTCTTTCTCCTTCGTTTCCTTCCACTTTTACTTCATCGCCTCGCTCTATGCTTATCTTCCTTTTTTTTTATCTAACTAGTGTCTCTTAGATTCTCCACCTTCATTTAATGTCTCTCAACGATTTACGTTACGCGTTTAAATCCCTTGGCGAAGTAAGCCCGACCGATGATTAATTCCAATTATACATTTGGCTCAAGACTCTCATCGTTTTCTCGACTCTCGACCGTTTAATTTCTCTGTAGAATGAGTATATTCTCGTTTTCCATTGTAGCCGTGGCGAGTTACTATTAATCTTGCTTAGAAAGCTTTGATGTAAATTGTAAGAAACACTTTCATTTTGCCGGGATATTTTTAGCCCGTTTTTAGCTGCGAGCAGCTATGTGATCTTGTCTCGGCGGACCAGTTTCGCATTGGTCCCGTTGTTCCTAAAATCCCGAGTGACATCTTGTAAAGGATCTGTCACCTGATGTAGATTGATGTACACGTCGACTGACACAAACGAATAAATCCTGCATGTCTTTGGATCTATGTTCTTGGTGAGAATTGTTTCTCAATATTGGTGTTTATGTCGATCTAAGGAGAAAAAAATATATTGGAGATATTTCGCATGAAATATATCTGCAGAGATAAATATAGTTTTATTATCGCGTAAAGAATTTTCTTTATGAAATTTTTAATTATTCTATTTATAATAGATTTTGCATCACATTTACATTTATTTTTATAATAAAATAATAAAACTGTGTGAAAAGATTTTACATTGTAAATACATATACATAATTTTTCTTAGGATTTTTGATAAACGACGTTAAATTTGTGTATCTTTTTTCAACAATAAAAAGAATTACAAAATGTTGTAGTCGATACGACTGTAGAACGCTCGTATTTAAACTACACTAATTTATAATTATTATTTAATTGAATCTATAATATCTCTAGATAAGTTTGAAAATAAAAAATAAATTAATTTATGTTCTCGAATTCCGTAAGAAATATGATTCAGTTTATGATTGTATAATATTTTTTATCTAATTTTTAAATTTCTCTTTTTTACAGCCAACAGACGGCTTACGTATGGTCCAGTGTTTGTCTGGGTGCCCTGTCGATGTTGGCGAAGGAAACTGGCGTTACTGTTCTGGCACTAAACCTTCTTTACGATCTCTGTCGTTCCTGGCATTCAATCAAGAGGTAAGTGTTTAAGCCCTCAGTGTAATGTACCTTCCAGTGCAGAAATATAAGGTTTGATGTAGAGAAGTAAACTTTAAATTGATATAGTTATCTTGATTTCAATTACTTATATGCATTAGAACCAATGTAATTAATTTAAGATATTTGCAATAGTTGGATCTTAGATGAAAAGAATCGTAAAATACGAAATTTCTCCGCTTCTCATTAAAGATAACGTGACTGTATGTACATCGGCAATTAAATTATCATAAATTTTATATTGCGTGTTCTAAAGCGATAAATGTGCTTTTCGTGACGGTAGAAAATACGGTCATAATACTTCGGGATATTCGAATTCCATATCATAAATTTTATTTTTTTTCAAATATTGACCATTTATATTATTAATCTCATAAAGTGACTTATAGTACTAACAAAGTATTCAGTTTATTTATTATATCAATAGATGTAATACAATATAACTTGTGAAACATAAAAAGTTATTATACTAATTTTTTATATACATTGGTTTTCCAGGTCTATTTTCGAAGCTAAATGGAACGACGATTCTAGATATTTCTCAAGACGTGCTGCAGCATTGCTCGTTTCGGTAAGTTAAATTAAATCCGTACGCTTGTGTATCTGTTCATAATAATGGTAATTAGCGTATTATGCGATTATACGCTTGAATCAGATTTCAATCTCTGATTTGCAATATAAACTCGCTAAATTAATACGAGGATGATATAACAAAATCATGTGTTTCAAAGCAAATTCGCCGACAAGTTTCATGCTAATTGATCAGTGTCACTTCAATATCGATTGTTGATGGCAATCAGTAATATTTTAAAAGAGTTGCGAGGAAAAAAGTGGCTCTACAATCTGAAATATAGATGAAAAGGCAATGATCAAAGGGGATTGGATCTCTTAACGCACCATGTTCATTCAGTCATGCATAAAAAACCTCATAGGATTTGCAGACGAGTGGCAGAAGCGGCCGGCTTTGTTATTATTGTATTAACGACAATGTCTGCACTTCTGGTATCCAGACAATTGTAGAAACGCTCATGACTATATTTATCCATTTAGATCCGCGCACCCTCAACTTATCACGTAATTGGATTAATGGAAAACTCAAGCTGCAGTAAGCCTCGGCGGCAATTGAACCGTATTGAATCGTACATTATTGATTTAACCTTGATTGTGTTATTCACAAAATTTATTGAATTGTATGAAGGAGGAGGAAAAAAGTTCGGATCAAATGTTTGTTGATTATTTGTAATTGTATATACACGTGCTATAATAATATATATAGCTGCTACTAGTGTCCGCTTGGTGTTACTCCTAAAAGGGATTATCTACGTGCTAAGAAAACACGATCGTCGCTCTTCTATAATCCGCGGAATTAGCGCGGATCCCCTATTCGCGTGTCCGCATCGTTAATTCTTAACGACCGATATCTTTCGTTTTTATCGTCCGACTGTAGTTAGACACCGATGTTTACAACAGTTTGCGTCTTAAGCAAATTTAACGATCGTTACCATAGATACACTCGACGTCGGAAATTTCTCTTCACGGTCGTGGAAAATAAATAACATTCTCCTGAATTGCTATGCAGCAAGACAAACTGTGTAGCGAGCGAAGCGTGGGATGAAATAGCGGCAGTTTCAAAAGATCAACAGAGTGATATATGATTCATATAAATAGGTATTGTATGACGCTTGACAATCGAGTATATGGAACAGGTTTGCCATTGATACCCACAATAATAATCAGCTTTCTGGTAATTAGATTTGTTAAATAACATGGATGAAAGAGGGGGAGGGGAAGAGAGATAGAGAGAGAGAGAGAGATTGCATGATCAAATTATCCTTCTATTCAAGATTTATTTAAATTAAATGTTAAATTAAATATCAATAAAATATTAAATATTGAATTGAATATTTAACTTGAGCATATTTCAAAGACACGGAAAATTTGCACAGTTTACTTTTGAGCGAACATTTTATGAGCTTAATTTAGAATCCTACTTGGAGTTTAATTTTCAAATAAGATCTAAAATTTTTTTGCGAATGATAAAAGAGAACTTTTTTAAAAAACTTTCTGTTTTCCTCTCGCTCTCTTGTAGCAAAGTCCACGCAGATGTGTGTGTGTGTGTGTGTGTGTGTGTGTGAGAAATATCTTAAATTAAAAAAAAATCTCAAGTGAGGTAATAAATTTTATCGCAATGGATGTGAATTCCGTATTTTCGGCACGGATTCATCGAAGTCACGCTGGTCGATTATTACGACATCATGTAACCCTTAAAAGGAGTTTATGAAGTGCTATTAAATCCTCGGCATTTTATGATCGTCGATGTTCATTCTCAAGAAACACGGGCTTTTGCGGCACAGGCACTCATCATCTTTATTATCACGAATTAATTTAGACGGCATTGTACTAAGCACACATACTATAGAAATGCATTCAATAAAGATTAGAGAGTAGCATATTTCTTGGTAATTGTCATTTTTATGATAGAATTGTTAGCAAATAGGTACCAGTTATTAAAAATATATTTGACAATTGTTAAAATAATATACATATATAAACAGTAATTGTACGATTTTAATTTTTCTGTGGAACAAATTACAGTGACGCATTTAAATTCCGTAACAGTCTTAAATAATTAAAGCAATAAACCAGGTTGTACAATTTCCTCCTCGGTAAAGGAATTGCTAAATAACATAATATTTTACCTTCAAGACGTGTTGTGTAAGTCAGAGCAACACACGAGCCGTCACGTGGCCCAATACGGGAATAAAGGTTGCGCATGGAGGGTACTTTAACCGAACACGATTCTGAGTTATGCTAATTTATGCTGCCGAACGAGGGAGGCGTGCTTGCATACGACCTACCCTCACACAGTTATCTACATATCACGGATCTCTTTCCACCCCTGTCGTTTCCGTCAGCCCATAGCACTTACACTTACACGTTCTCAGGTACGTCGTTTTCAACGACGCTTCACAAGTCTTCATCATTGAGAAAGATCACTAATATCTTAGGATAAGTACTATTTCTGTCAGCGTTAAGCGTCAAATTTATCAATTTCTCTCGTTTAGTAATCATTCAGATATGGATATCATTTTTTACTTATGAAATAATGTTTCGTTGCTTATAGATATATTTGTGTATCAGCGAAATTAACTTTAAATAAACGGGAAAATTAATTTAACAAATTATGACTTTTAAAAGATATGTCAAACAATTCGTGATTTGCTTCGAAATAATTTTCGTTCGGTAAACGAAATTTTTGCGTTACTAGAATGTCATTGCTTTTGCATTCGAGTCGAGACTAAATGCTAAAGACATCAAACTGCTAACATTGAGGTGACAAACCTAATCAATAGGACAATCTATTAGCTACATGTGCTGTTTACTGATTGTACATTGCCATGCTCAGTGTTATCTGATTGGCTTAGCGTTTAACTCTCGTTTGTCTTACTCTCCCTTAAGTTATTGCGTTTAAAGATAAATTACGATTGAAAGTGTTATACCAGCGAAAAGAAATGCATTATTACAATTACTTTCTTCAACTACTTTGTCATTATTGAATTAGTCAATAATCAATACTTCATTGAATGCAAGAAGTTAAAAGTTTTCAGAATCATTCTCAGAATTTTAATCTTAAAGGAAATAAAATTTAAAAGAAATCTTTAAGAAAGGAATAAAAGTAATATATATATACATTTTGCATTAGTTTAATCTCTTGTGTTGTTTAATTTTTATAATATATATACATATTTCTTTTTCATTACTTATGGACATCATAAAAAAAAAAAAAAAAAAGAAACAGCGTATGCTTATTCATAGCTAAATGTTTGAGATGTTGAGAAAAGCTGATCGCATTGATATGCGATACGACATTTCGTGCGCATCGGATGTTTATCGGAATTGAATTTCCGTCTCGCTCGTGTTCCGCGGGGTCAACCGGGATCTCGTGGCGGCCGTAATACAATATTCCAAGAGCTTCCCATCGAAGAACAAGACCGACACCGCCGGTGTCGGACGTCTCGGCGGGATATACATGCGGCGTTTCGATGACGGCGTTACGTACATATATATATATATATATATATATATATATACATATATACGACGTGTTCGCTCTCTAGGATGGACGCTATCCTAGTCTGTCGACTTCGATCCTGGAGGATATGAATACCTCGAATTGGCAGATATTGTCCGGCTCTCCAACCCTTCCAGAACCACTCACCGCTATGTCTGTCTATCGACAAGAATGCGAGCGAGAGGACCCGCCGACATAGGTACAAAGGCGGAGAGACAGTGAGAGGGCCAACGATGCTTCCTGGATAACTCTCTGGGAATAAGGGATGGAGAGTGGTCTATCGGAGGATGGTACGGACGTCTATTGGGTTAGCGAGCTCTGGGAAGAACGTGACGGAAATGTGACGACGGACCCGTGTCATCTACCGCGTGAACGTGACGACGTCTCGACGCGACTCGGCGGGAAACTTGTATGAAGCGAATACCGTTTCCTCTTCTTTGCTATTCAGACTTGCGAATCGCGTTACTTAATTCACCCATTTAAGAAAACGTGACTGTGATACATGTCGCGCCCATTAGCGGCATTATTGCGAGACCTAACTTGCTAACTCCCCTACTGGATGCTTCATAAATCGTGGATAATTAAAAGGGAAAGAAATAGCAATATATATATATATATATATATATATATATATATATATATATATATGAACGGACATTTATTATGGTAGACATGTTGAGAACATGAAATTTTGTCTTTCTTTGTCATCTGTTTGCTATTACATCATTAACTTCATTTTTATCTATTCCATCGTATCATAGAGAATCGCATAAAAGTTTCTATATTTCTGCGTAAAACTTTTATGTCTCTATATCATATCGCGTGCAGTGGATCAACGATCCGCAATTTGAGTATAAAAATATAGCCTCTCTTACGGTTGCTTTGTTTTATATCTCGTTCTTTTTATCTTCCAAAATGTAATTTATAATCCAATTATTTGTATGTGTGATAAAACAGAAACGTCAAAGTTGTAGATATGAATGCAATGCAAATGCATTTTAATTTGAAACAAGAGACACTTGATTCGATGTTATCACATTTGTTATATCCACACGACTATGTAAAATTTTTGTGCCAAAATAATTTATAAGTTTTCCTCTTTTAATTGCTAGCACCGTAAAGACATGAAAGAAAACAAGTTTGTTAGGTTTGTGCGAGAATAACTGAAGCGCTTTCAAATCTGCACTTCGCATTGCATTGATATAAAGTACTCTTGAATGTTTCGTAAAGAAAAATACCCGTCTATAACAATATGAAAATTCATCGACCGTTTAATGTTTGCAGTTTGGCATACTTCTTGTGGTACGGCTCGCTCTGCTTCATGGTACTTTGCCGAACTTCTCCGCACAGGATAATCCAGCTGCTTTTCATCCCTGTTTCCACGTCAGGTGAGTATCTGTATAAATCCTTTATGTTACGCGAGTCGTGACGCGAGGAATCCTATTACAATGTTTCAAAACTCACAGCGATTGAGAACGACTGGAAACTTTATACCATTGTCCTTCGTTGAGGAGTAACGTATCGCGTATATGTGAGATCAAAGTGTTGGATGACAGTGGAAACAAGACGACTTTATCCTTTGATCTGATTCAGCTTGGATTCATCTCTCACTCGACGCTTTCAGTAGTTGGAAACATTTAAGCGGCAATGCTATTTCGATTGTTTATTTTCGCACCTTTCCACTGGAATGTTTTCTTAGAACCTCAATTGGATATCCGACTCTTTTTCTGAAACCGATACATAAAAACAAACACAAGAGACATTTGATTCATTTTTTTTTAACCGCAATAAAAATATGGAAAAAGAGGAAAAAATACAAATTACCGTTATAAAACGTTTCGAATTTTATTCTAAAAATGAGAGGTTACCTTATAGAAAAAAAGCAAACGATGTTAAAATATATCTGCATATAGAAAATCAATTTTCTATTCACGCCAAATGCCTGATTTAAAATGTCTTCTTCTGTAGTCGTCTCTAACTATGCTACGTCTCGAAGATCAAGCATCAGTCGATTGCCTGCCAAAAAAAGATTTTCAATTCGTGCTCGGGTTAAACCGAGAATCTCGTCTGTCCAACTTTTCCACTCCAATTGCCTGCTTGCAACAGATTCGCGCCGCGTCCTGCTGCGCCGCGCCGATTCGTTCGAGTATCATCGTCAAAGAATCCGAGCTGAGATGCAACTTTTCGGTGCGATTCGCGGAACATCTCTCAGTTGATTTCCTCGAAGATCGATACTCGCAGCAACTTTAATCCACACTCGATGCCATATTTTTTACCTAAAAAAATTTTTTTAGCGATGCGATATGAACATTCCGATTCGACGAAAAGTCTATGAAAAAATGTTCTCATGCATAATTCGATTCGACGGCTCGTTGAACATGTTCAGTATAAATCCAATCCCACTATCTTACCGTAGTTCAACGATATGACCACTGTATCTATTACGTCTCACAAGGAGCGGACGTGTTCTGAGGTTTCACGTAGATCGAAAATGGAAATGATCACACGATGTAGTCCTCTGAACGCGCAACTCGTTGCTGCGCAACTTTTATTCACGATGAAATTACGAAATAGATATATTTGATATCGTGTGTTTTTTTTATAAATATAAAAGAAAAAATCTTCTCCATTTGTAAACAATTATTTTAATTACAGGGGCCCATCTTTTGAAGTAGTTATAAACGTAACGCAATTTGTCTACCTGTTTTACAAAACTAATTAGTCATACATTACATTTTCATGATAAAAGTCATATTTCCGCGAATTTCTTTCATACGTGGCCGTGCAACCCGACCGTAAGATTCCTCTTTCTGACACGACTGACGAAGGAACGCTAATTAAATACAACGTTCTCTCGTTGCACCTTCCTGTTTCACCGACGCGGAAACAGCACTGCAAAAGAAAAAAGAAACGAGAATTCTAATTATTAGTTTGAAAGAGAGATTGTTCGATAATTTCAGCATATATCGAGACATTGTATTATTTTCATCAGCCTTACTCTTCCCCCATTTGTCCGACGTATATAAATGTATCGAAGCAGCTCTTTTTTCCCTCTTTTTTTCTATTTATTCATTTCTCTTCTCCGATACAATCCCAGCTTCCCACCCTCTTCTTCCCCATTTCTCTGAAGTCGAGCGTACGAATAAGAGTAGAAACAGACCGGAAGAAAAGAGGATATTATCTCATACGAAATACTTTCGGGCTAGAAACCGGGCGGAATATTTTATGCAATGTATAATTTGGCTGGATGTACCGTCGTTTCGCGAAATTTACGATCGCGCAAGCCTACAAGTCGGACCAGTCTTTCGCGAGGGCTTCACGTCTCCCTTAGGATTCTATTTTCCCTCTGTTAACCCGGTCCCTTATTCTCGAAATATTCTTGCCGCGTCAAATATGTATGTATGTATATGTATGCGCGGCATATGCGACACGGCACGTGTCCGTGTAGATGATGCCTGCGACTTGAACAAATTTACTTGGTGCAAGATGTCGCGCGAGGTTCCTTCTAATGCAATTATACATATAAGTTTAGGCGATTCCGGGTGGAGTATATATTTGCGATGATCGCGTGTACCTGTGTTCGACCGCTCAGGGGTGGTGCGGCTATTCCATTAGATCCCGCGATGCTCCACGCGATTAATACGGTAATTTAAGTTTAAGCTTGTTAAGCGGACGACTGGCGCGCGCGCGCGTAACTCCGTGCGAAGCGCTAATCGCCACTTAAATAGGCTACAGATATAAATCATGCCGCGCTCGGCCCTCGTTATTAACGCGAGCTCGCAGCAACAACAACGCGTTCTCTCTCGACAACGCGCAATTACGACTTGCTCGTTGCGATGCAGGATGCACACGCGCCGTTTCAATCTCGCTTTGCGCGAGATTTGCAATTTCGCACCGTTGTATATCTACGGTAACCCCTTTATACGAATAAGTGTTATCCAACTTTGCATCTGCGATTGTCTGACACAAGCCGTACACATTGATCGTTTGGGAAAAAAAGCCAACCGAATATTGGTGAATATATCGTCGAGAACATATATATTACTCCACTTTATTAGATCATAGATAAGTATGACGTGAATGTGTATTTTGAAGCAACGAATGGCGGTTGTTTGCTCCCAAGAGTAGCAAAAGTGCGTTAGAGAGTGCTCGAGATTTCGCGTCGGGCTTTACGGAGTACAGAGAGTAAATGATATCGTTAAAAGGTCTTCCCGGTTACGACAGACTCGTATATATACCGTGCGCGGTCTTTACGATGATTAATTCCATGACGGATCCGCCCCATGTGTCTCGCTCTATTGCTCTATACCTGCAATGATATTATTATATATATAGACACCGCACGCGTGTCATTTCCACTATGGTCTGTGTCTCGGTTTCGTCGTAAAATATTAACGCGATAGATAGCCACATTACGAGGATTATTATGCAGCTCGACAAAGTTCCTTTAAGATTTCTCTATTTCTATTAAATTTTCCTCGGAATAAAACACGCTCTGTTATGCAGAAAATTATTAAGCAGATTAAGGATATTAATGATCGGTGATAAAATGAGATCTGACAAATTTAGCACAGTTTCGCACCGTATATATTCAGCTACATATATAGCCAATGGAATTAAAATAAGTTGATGAACGTCTTGAATAATAATCGTGTGATATAATTATATGCTTGCAATATTCATATCGATATCAATATTAATTCTAAAATACGAATATCTATCTACACTTTGTTATATATATATTACGAATATTTTGACGTCTCGAACTGAATAAATAATTTTGTGTATTCTTTACGATTAAGGCAGCATATTGAATTGTATACCGAACACAGAAGAACCATAACGTCGTTATAATAACGATGACAGAACTAGTTCAGGGAGATAACTGTAATTTTATTGTGTTTTTTTTAAATCGCCGCAGGAGTTCATTGGAATTTATGCAGCATAGTAACTTAAAACTTCTCTTTATGTTTGTATGTTTGAAATATATATACTCGGGAGATTTATAAGTTTATAAAACAGCTTACCTCTCTTAGGAGGACTGCGGAATATCTCGGAGAGAAAGCAGAAGAAATATGCTATAAATGGTTAACGTAAGTTTTCTCGTAAAAAGATTGCTCAACTTTCCTCTCCGTTTGATATTTTGATATTTCTTTTGTTTTTTTTTCTAGTATCGCGCAATGTGCACGCGCGCATAAAAAATTGGTGTATGTATGCCTAAAACGTTCTGTACAATAATTTACGATAATATACGTACAAAAGAAATTTGTACAAAAATTCTTCGTCCCGATAAACGGTGCGTTTGAATTATAAAACGAGAAGCCCTCGATGCGTGTGTCGACGAAATATTGCCCACAGAATGACAGAGTGCACTTTGAATTTTATCCATGATAGAGAAGTGTTAGAATAATCATGCACAGTTTTCCATTCAATCGCGAGTGGTTTTGTGTGCGCACGCTGAGGGTAACTTTTTTTCAGCATTTACTTTATTCAATTTGTGAATGACAGTAAATTGTTGAAATTTGAAATATTCTTAACAATAGGAGAACCGAACAAATGTGTCGCTCTGTCGCGACTACGCGGGTAGATTTTTAAATTGGGCAAGAATCGCACACATTGGAATCGCGCAATCCGGAGAAAAGCCAGCAATCGTCGAAAAATCGTCGTCCGCGTATCGACGTGATTTTCTCGAAGGATGTCAAAACTTACTTTCATATTTATGAGTCACGTTATGGCGAAAATGCAAACGTATGCAGCACTAGTCATTTACGGTGCACTCACAATCATGCACGAGTGATAGAACTTCATGCATGTCTGATAGCGATAGAGTGTAATATAGCGCTCTCTCTCTCTCTCTCTCTCTCTCTCGCTTCTATTTCCATCGCTGTATGTATAATAGCATGTCTTTATGACGTAATCCTTTGACAGAGAATATTGTTACGAGAAAATTTGTATCCGCTCTCACGGCCATTTTACTGAGAGAGGGAGAGAAGAGAGAGAGAGAGAGAGAGTCCTGTTCAATCATCTTTGAAGTATTACTCTCTGTATTTTAATATCGCGTATCTCAATTTGCTCGTACAAAGTATTTTGCTGCATGTTGCAAATATCGGCCTTCGAATAGAAGCAAAAAATTTTTTTATAATGCTTGTTACATCTCGTCGTCCGTAGATTTAAAAATGTTGTGGTCGGATAAAATTGATTCGAAATAAAGTAAAAAAAAAGAATTATTTCAATTTTGTTATCCAAGACTGTGCGAATTTCATCTAGAACGATACAATAAAAATATCTATGAAAAACGTTGATATCGATTGCTAGGGAAAGATAATGGAACTTATATTCATTGTTCTCTATCCGCATAATCCATCGGAACGTTAAATCCACGGATCAGTTTTCGTGCGGACGCCTCATTGCCGGGCGATTAATTCTCATGATCGGAAGTTTCCGCGCAGTAAATGGCGTTAAGCTCAAGTCTCCCATTTCTCCTTTCTCTACGTCAGAATCGTAGAAAAGTGGCTGCTCATTTATTAGTTGAAGCTAATATATCTCGTTAAATCTCCTGTATATCTCGTCTAATCTCGTTTCATCATATCGTACAGTTAATAAAATAGTCAAAGGATATGTAATAAAATATTGGCTTTGCGTCGTGCGGCTGTAATGTTCGCGTAATAGCTGGCGAAAAGGAAAAAAAGAAAAAAAAGAGGAAGGCGGATTATAAAGTGCGCGAGCTTCAGAATTATGGGAATATGTAAAACTGTTTCTCACGTTAACCTATGAGCAAGACAGATTTATGGTTTCGAGCATATTTTTGTATGCGAATGCTCGCACACACACCAACCTCAGTTAATATTGCTAGTCAACTACGGACATATGCGCTTCTTCTTTCTCGCTGTAAGTACTTTCTCGTAGCTACGTAACTTTGTATACTCTCGCCATAATTTATGCTCTATTCAAGCACCTGCGCGCCTTCCCGGAATTTCGCCCTTCTTCCTCGCGTAAACTCGTGTCACGAGTTCACCGTAAAGATTGCACGATGATATACCCCGGTGCAGATAATTAACATTAACGTTTATGAAAGAGACGCTTATAACCAGACCGTTAAATATAGCCGCTTAAATAAAAGCCTCTTTCTTTGTATAATCGATCGAAAGATATATACAATGTCCCGGAGAGGAATACTATTTTCCTCACTTTCAAACGGAGGGAGAAAAGTGAGAACACAAATTGATTCGTCAGATATACATATAAGTACATTTTCTCGAATAATTTGTCGTGCAATTTTTCGAATTATTTGTCAAACTAATGACTTTAATGATCCAATATACCATTTGTGTTGACGTTAATTACGTACTAACTATATAATGAAAATGATCACGTGGTCGTCCTATCTCTCGCAAGACCAATGAGAATGTACGCGGGCAGAGAACTTCCTGGACAGTGAAAATTCCGACGTAGAGATAAAACGCCTCTGACAAAGCTACTGCGACGACACCGCTGAGTGCGCGTAATTAGTTATATCCGGAGGGTCTAGCTGTTCTCTAACGAAAATCCCCGGCGGTAGTAAATTTTATACCAGGACAAAGCAATGAAGATGATATCAAACAGCTTTTGTGAATTTTTTCCTCTTTCGCTTTACATCAAAGAATTTGTTACTGACGCAGTATCGTTACCACCTTAAACATGTTTCTTCGGCGATGGATTTTTATTATCTACTGATATCTTGTACATACAATGAATTGAGATCGTCTTTTTTCACGATACATTTTTATTATTCGTGATAAATTTTATAAAATTCAAGTGTGAAATATAGATGAGAGATTTTTAACGCGTTTCATCTCGGAATAGAATTTTTCGCTGCGTAGTCTTTTAGAGAGGGAGAGAGAGAGAGAGAGTCA